TAAAAATCATCAAATTTAAATCTTCAATATCATTCAAATGGTGAGGTTTACGGAAAAAATATAAGATATCTTTTTTATAGAGCACTAAATTTCCTACAAAATTTGTCTAGAATATTTTTCTGCACAATCAATAAATAATGAGGTATAAATTTTAATCTATTAGACTGAAAAAAAAAATAAGAAACTGCGATGCGGAGGATGTTCCTATTGAAATTAAGAGCTCATATTTGGTGAGAATTGTTTTAAGGCGTCTAGCAACCCATTTTTCCGTGGCACTTAAAAAAAAAAAGAAGTCATTTTTTTGACCTACCCTAATATATATATTATAGGGGTGCCCCGTCACGTGTTGCTGTAGCTCACAATCAGTCCGATACACACGTCTTTAAGTTAACGAATTACCTTATACCGCCATCTGTTAGAATCTTATCGAATTAACAAAGATAATCATGACTCTTTGTTAATAAACAAATAATTCGCAATAAAATAATATTGCGATTATATATTGAGATATAAACTATCCTATCTTTCAAATTGGATGAAACTGCACACAGTGTGCAATATTTTATTAAAATTTGTTCAGTAGTTTAGGAGGACATTGCACACAAACAACGTGACACGTAATTTATATATATATATATATATATATANAAAAATATTTTTTAAAATAAAATTTAATTAATTAAGTAGGGAGTTTATAAATTATTATTATTCTGGGGAGTGTTGAAAATCGAAGAGGTTGTGTGTGTAAGTCTGTGTGAGTCCAAAAAAAAGCATTTAAATGAAATTCAAATCGAGAACGAAGTGATTGATTCTTTGACCGTCAATACACCTTTTGTCACTTTCAAGAATTGTAAGTTTAAACAAATTATAATAAATAATAACAAATACAACTCTCATAATCAAGAAAATAACTAAATGTATACGTAGTAACCTATTTATGTTTGTAATATTTAACTAAACAAATATCTTTAAAACTTGTAAAAATAAATAAAATATAAAATATATGAGACAACACATGTTATTAAAATCATTAATTATATATCATAATATATAATATATATAAGCATGAGCAGTAATTTATTAAAACATTTTTAAGGTTAAGGAACTAGTGCGCATGCTTCTATTTTTTAGCGCATGCGCACTAATTCGTTACTACATTCAAGCGGGAGGGAATGAGGCACTTTTCTCCCTGGCACAGATTCAACCGGGCGGGAATGGGGCACTTTGCTCCCTGAAAACAGGGAGCAAAATACGTACTTTCCATCCAGGTGTGAGAAAAAAACCCTTGTGCAATGTCGGGACCCTTTGAAGCATTTCGGATTCCTATGTAAACATATGCGATACCATAAAAAGCGATAACATTCCGATGTTCTTGATCAAGTTTCTTTATGCATAGTTCCCACTACCAAAAACCATAGGCTGTACCCGTCAGTGGACTATGGGGGTGGATCCTTATGCTATTGGTCAATAAGATTCATAATCTCCTTCCCTCTCCAAAGGGGTGTAGGTCATTTCTGATATAAAATACGTGGAAAAAAATAAGAAGTTAGCAGTCATAGTCGTAGCCGTAGTTAGTCTTCAGTCGTAGCAGTCGCAGTTGTATTATAAGTCGTTATCAGTTGTAAGAATACAGTCGCCCATCTAAGTTGTAACCGTAAGATTGTGAAACTAATATTGCACTTTTTCTAATACCTGTTTTAAATAAATCTCATTAGTAGGATTAAACTGGGTGTATGTTCACCTCGTACCTCTCACCCTAAATAAAATTTCCTGCATATAGATTAAGATATATCGTATGTTACGTGATAGAAAAATACATTAAAAAATATCATTTTTATAGTTAAATAAAACTATTGTATATTATGCAAATATCGAACGGTCATTTAATATTCTCCAATATTGTTAATTTAAATTTTCATTCTAAATAATTCGTGCAAAATTTCGTAAACATATTCGTTGATCGATATAATTAGAATTTATATTTGTCGCGTAATATAATATAAATATATACATATATACACATACACCACACATGTGAAATGAAATTATTTACGAATTATTAAAAACCATCATTCGAACAATCATCATACTTCACGTATTGCCTTCCTTCCTATATACTTTCAAATCAAAAATTACAATACACTTGTTGTGAATTCTTCACGCGCGTATATTTTCAACGAACTACTCTCTCTCCGAGAGAGAGAGAGAGAGAGAGAGAGAGAGAGAGGGAGAGAGAGAGGAGGATAGGGTAGAATAAAATTGACCCGTAACAACAAAACCGGGTCTATAAATCTTCTATCGTACACAACGTCGCTTCCCAATCTGTTAGCATCAAAATATTTTGCATATATCGATTTCCGACTGATTCCATGCATACATACACACATACACACACACACATGTGGAAAGTAGAATAGTGAGAGAATATACCGGTCGCGTGGCAGTTATAAATTTTGAATTTTGTCATCGGATCTATTCGTAGAAAGAAATCGACGAAGAATTGGAAGTGATATGAGCCAGCAACGAGAGAATATTCATAAATATTTTGTCATATTGTAAGATTCTCAGTTGAACGAAAGAGAGAAAGAGAGAGAGAGAGAGAGAGAGAAAGAAAGAGAATACAAAAGTAAGAAGAAAAAAGAAAGAAACATCTTTTATTCGTATACCATTTCGAATATTTTTCAAACTTATGTTAAAATTTGTGTATCAAAAACATATACACACGTATTACATTATATTTACGTAAATTAAATGGGGAAACAATAAGAACTTTCAGATATGAATTGTGAAATGTTGTTAAAAAAAATGACTATTAAGAGAAAAGAAAGATAAGAATGAAAGAAAAAAAAATACTTAAACTAGTTTTGTACATCATCATCGTACTCGTAGCTTGTCATTTCATTGGTAATAGCGTTCCTACGTATAGGAATATATTTCCCAGTCCCGACGACATAATAAATTTAGGCAATCATCGCGTTCGGAGCCACGAACGCGGACATATTTAGCATATAAATGGCACCCGGTAGGACAGACAACAGCAGAAAAATACCATGGGGATAATCGAATTCGTTGCAAATACAAATAAACGTTGCCACCTTTCCAACCCTGTTCTTCCTTGTCTCTTTCTATCTCTCTCTTTCTCTCCCTCTCTCTCTTTCTCTCTCTTGTCAATTTGTTACAATTACATTAATCAATTAGGACGATTTTCATTTGGTTCAATGTTGAAAAGACTTCGTCATTTTAGAAAATGTTTTATTTTGCATATAACAATTTTTTATTCTTCTTTTTTTTTTTGGTAATATTTTAATTACGAATGTAATTATTTATCTATCGATTTATACTTTTTTCTTTGTGTCTCTCCTAATCAGTTTTTAAGTTATCCGTGTATATTATGAAGGAAGGATAATGGTTTAAAAGAAAATGTAGAACGTAAAAGAGTGGAAGAGCTCTTTGGAACGATGACAACGAACCTCAAAGAAAGTAGCAGATTAAATGTCAGTTTGGTGTCAGTGCATTTTTTTTTTTTATCATCTTTACTATATATATTCGCCAATTTTTTACGCGTATTACACTCTTATATACTTTTAAGTTTAATTTTGGAAACTAGGGATGCGATTTTTTTTCTGCTTTTCGACATTTACTTTTAGTCTTTGAAAAAATAAAAAAAATGGGTGGAAACACTTATGCGCAAACATATGGAACATGAACAACAAAAAAAAGAACATACTAAACGGCTAAAATATTTTATGTAATGAATAAATGTACAAATAACTTAAACTTTTACATCATTCGTGATAATAAAAAAAAAAAAAACTAGAAAGAGAGAGATGTAATGTTCGTGTGTAAGAGTACATCATGAAAAGTGGTCTCTTTATCGTGTGTAACGTAACTTTTTAACGAAAAGGTATAAAGATAAACATCTCGAAAGTCCGAATTTCGCGAATAGAGAAAGAGACCTTCCATTCCACTGACTAAACTCGGCTTTTGCTTCGCAATTTGGCACACAAAAAAAAACTCGCAATACAAGGAGGGCCCCGAAAGTGAAGGAAAGTCAAAGCTAAATGCGAAAAATTTTTCGTGTTAGCGAAAAATCTGATAACAGAGGAGGAATGATTTAATGATACGATAAGTACGTAAAAGTATGTTAACTATTTATATGCGTGTTTAACTAACATTATTATTAATTTCATTTGTAGATTGATAATTACAATATAATTGTACTAGTCGAGATTAGAAAATGTATATCTTTTGATTATTTTAATTTATACAAAGAAATTTTTATCTAGTAAATGTTTGTTTAATTTTTTTCAACAGTAATGAACAATTATATTGATAAAACTGCATTTTAATTTGCCTTATCAAAGTTTTAATGCAACTCTATTCCTATTATATTTTATAATAAATGGAATCTATATACAAAACAAAAAATTGTGTGATAATCAGTTATATTACATAATTTGTAATTGCAGTAATAGAAACGTAGCACGAAATTGTCATCAATAAACACAAAGATAATTAGAATCAATAAATAAATATTATTATAATTGGTTAGTATCAGGATATCTGCGCATTACAATCTCGATGATATCCTATACGATTATTTTCAATCTTTCAATTTTCATCTGAAACTATTTGTTATTATCCATCGACGATAAATAATAATTATATCGACATTTTAACGATAAGGACAATTATTCCATAAATTGTTTCTGCGAAATTAAATTACAATAAGAAAAAAAAATAGAATTCGATATAATAAGCAAAATCAATATTAAAAATAGTACGAGTACCGAGTACAATAAATTATTAGTCAATAATTTAAAAAACAAAAATAAAAAAAAAGGAGAGAACAATCAAAACCAGAATAAATGAATATATATCATGCGTGTCACGAACTTGATGAAATATCTATACCTACTCCTGAAAAGAAAAAAAGAAAATGAAAATGAAAAATAAAAATGAATATTAAAAATAAAAAAATCAAAGAATTTTAGAACTACAAGTAGAGTGCATACGAGGAAATTTACAAAAATGTATCTTAACACGTCTGAGTTATTGAATTGCATCTATGAAAAAGGAATTTTTCTCTTGTTCCCCGAATGTCGTCGTTGATAAGAAGAAGTACCAACCCTTTACATATACACCTACCTACCATATGTTGACGATGCATTGGAAATACAAAATTGGGAGGCCAAAAAATTTTGTTCATTCGAACCACAGAAGCATTTTCTCAAACTGTCGTTTACTTTAAACGTCTATCTCGCGATATACTTACTATCTAGGTTTTACTACGATTGCTATGAGTCTGCTGCAGTTGCAGTTGCAGTTGCTGTAGCTGCTTGTTGCTGCTTGCGATTTCCTCTATAGATTTTCTCTCTCTCTCTCTCTTTCTTTCTCTCTCACACATCATACACACTCATCACTACATATATATATACGTAAACATATACACTTTATTCTTTCTATCCTTTTTATATTATTTTTCTATTTCTTTAACTTTCTGGAACGCGTGTCTCTCTGCGAAGCACATTCGACTTTTGTGCTTTCGGCTTCGGTCGAATAACTATCGAGCAAAAACGAGAGAAAAGGTCGACTTACGAACCTCCGACATGACTCGACTACTCTATTCATTCACCTTTTAACTCAAAAAAGCGAAAAAACGTAGGCGAGAAAGAAATAGAGTAAGTGAGAGAGAGAGGGAGAAAAACTACTATACGATTTGAAGCACTGGAGAAGAGGCAGAGTTTAAAAGACGATCAAAAAAATGAAAAAAAAATATTAAATTTCGCACCGAAGAGTAATGTAAAAAGAAAAAAAGAGAAATATTTCGTTAAAAATATTATTACGTGAATTTCTATTACTTCGGAATTGGGAATATTTTCAAAAATAAAAAATATATATATTGGTGATTTTCTTCTTGAAAAAAAAACCAAAATAAATTTAGCTTATTAATGGTTTGCATTAATAGTCGAAGGATTTGATTTCTTTCGTTTTTTTTTACTTTTACGTACTAGGGTATATTTACTACGGAAAATACGGGGATGGTAAAAAGAAAAAAATGTTGAAAAATGATGAAAGAGAGAGAGAGAGAGAGAGAGAAAAAGAGAAAGTATATCAGGAATCACAAACTATGTACGTGCTTGATCTAATTAAGCAGCGACCCGTTGATTCAATGCAAGCACGCGTTACGCGCGCGCCGTGGCATCATTCGACAAGTACCACTCGACACAATGCTAGTAATAAAGAACCAGAAACAGAAAGAGAGAGAGAGAGAAAGGGAGAAAGAGAGAGAAATTGAAATTCGTACCGATCGATGTTCGATTCGCATATCTAACATAAATAAAGTACTTATCTATTGATATCAATTTGCAGTGCTTCGAGAAAATAATAGAATCGACGATTGATATATATGTGTATGTCTATGTGTATGTACGTTTCATATGTATGTGTATGGTTCTCTACATTGATAAAATAAAAAATAGAAAAAGAGTGAGAAAGAGAGAGAGAGAAAGCACTATGAAAGAATGAAAAAGAAGAAGGAAAAAAAAAGATAACGAAGTACGACGAGCATAAGAGAGAAGGAATAAAAAAAAGGTTGTGAGAACGGACGGGTGAATAAAACGGGCCAAGGTAAAACCAAGTTAAAGCTAAAAAAAAAATTAGAAGAAGAAAAAGAGATAAAAAAATAATATATATATATATAGAAGGAAACAAAGAATAAGGAGGAAGCAGAGTGAAAGAACGTAGAGAGAACAACGAACTCAAAGATTTACGACCTACGATAAAAAGTACTTTACCTTTGTACTTTGTATCATTGCCTGTGTTGCTATTGGAACCAGAACCGGAGGGTATCGCTGGAAGGCGCAAGAAACGAAATAATTACAAAAAGGAATCTACTATATCTTGCATACACAAAATTTGTGGTTCATAATTAATTATAGGTTTTTGTCGATCGCGTATTATACGAATTTATAATCGGTAGAGTTTACACGGTTAGATGATAAAATTGTTTTTTATCTTGTACGTAATAAAATTAAAAAAACACGATCAAATTTAAACGCAAAAATATACGAGAAATTTTCATTTCGTTCGTGAGTAAGAATAAATAAAAATACATAAATATTTTTAGAATAAAATAAAAAGAACGTTCACAACGATTAAAATGAAAATTTTCGGTAAAATCATTTTGTTGTTCTTCCCATATTAAATGGGCCCATCATCTTGCACGTATATATTTTTACACCTGTACGATGATATACACATAGAACGAAAACGTATGACCAAAAGTATAGAAATTCGCGTAGTTTACTTCCTGAGATAAGGTTAAACTCTCGGCCCAGTTTCCGTATTATCTAAACTCCTTGTTATCTTTGAGTTTATGAGTGCAAACATTTTCGAACGAAGGTGTACACACTTTGACGCCTTTATTTCTTTCCTTCTTTTCGAGACCCCGACTAGAGTTAGCTAGCTAGCTAACTCTAGCTAAATTCTACCTGCCACTTGAGTGAAACTATCTCAAACTATACCGGCGTTGAAATAACTAATGTAAGTATATACAACAACAAGTTTCCAGCTGAGATTTTGAATACGCGACTTTTCGTTAATTGGAACGAAATAATACCCTCTTTTTAAAATAGGATTTTATTTGTTCTTCCAATCTTTTCTTAAAACGATTTTCCAACGAGATTTTTCTACTATTATGTCAAAATTAATTATTACTTTCATAATAATTTAGGGCTTTTCAATTAATCGTTTTTTCTCTTCTTTTTTTCTTTTTTTATTTCTTTTTCGTCTGTAAAACTTGCACGGTTTCATTTTTTAATTAATTAGTTAACTAAAAAGATTATGAAAATTTTCTTTACTCACCGTATACACTGATACTTCCATCGGTGTCACCCAATGAATTCCTTGAAACACACTTGTATGAACCATAATCTTTAGTGCTCACCGAGTGTATAATTAACTTCATGTGAACTCTATAGGCATTGTCCACTAAGACCGGCTCATATTTTCCTCCTGAAATAAAAATATCGACCTGTGAATACAATTATTATGCATAGTGTTTGCTCCTGACACTTAACATTCATATATATAAATTTTGTATCATTATATCTTTTAACATATTTATTTTAATATTTTATTGGGTCTACAAGTAAGTTTCCAGCGTTTTTTAATAGATGGTGTCACTAGTAGATTCCAGACAGAAATGTCACATCTCATGTGTCATTTTCGAAGCTTGTGTATCTGTTAACATTGCATCATCATATTTGCGCATTTCTATCAGCGTCGTATATTTTATGAAGAAAAAACATGGCAAATTATGTGCCAAATAAGCGTAATTTGCAGGAAGCGCTGCTTCTATTCTTTAATATGAAGAAAAGTGCAGCTAAGGCCTATCGTTTGCTTCTGGAAACTTAAGGGGCGGAATGTATTGGTGAATCGACTTGTCGTGAGTGGTTCAAACGGTTCAAAAATAGTGATTTTGACGTTGAAGACAAGGAGCGCTCCAGAAAGCCGAAAAATTTTGAAGACGAGGAATTGGAGGCTTTGCTGGATGAGGATCCGTGTCAAATTCAAGAAGAGCTTGTTGCATCATTGGGCGTCACACAACAAGCCATTTCCCTGTGCCTGAAAGCTTTGCGATTCATCCAAAAAGTTGGAAATTAAGTACCGTACGAGTTGAAGCCAAGAAATGTCGAACGGCGAGTTTGCATTTCAGAAATTTTGTTGCAGCGGCATAAAAAAAAAGTCATTTCTGCATCGTATTGTCATTGGTGACGAAAAGTGGATATATTATGATAATCCTAAACGCAAAAAAGCATATGCAAAGCCTGGCGAGCCGGCCAAATCGACGCCGAAGTGAAATATTCATATGAATAAAGTCATGCTCTGCATATGGTGGGATCAGAATGGTGTCATATACTAAGAACTGCTTCCGAGTGGTCAAACCATCAAAGGACCATTGTATCGAACCCAACTAATTCGATTGAAGCGGGCATTGGCGGAAAAATTGCCAGAATATCAGACCAGGCACGAGTCTGCAATTGCCTGCAAACGACAACGCTCGGCCACATGTAGCTGCTTCGGTTAAAAACTACTTGGATAATAGTGGATGGGAAATTCTGCCTCAGCTGCCTTATAGTCCAGATTTGGCGCCATCTGACTACCACTTGTTTCGGTCGATGCAGAACGCTCTTACAGGAATGCGCCTCACTTCAGTAGAGTGAATCAAAAATTGGCTCAATACGTTCTTGGGCTCAAAAGACGAGAACTTTTTTTGGTCCGGAATTCACAGATTGCCAGAAAGATGGGAAAAAATTGTGTCTTCTGATGGACAATATTTCGAATGAAAAATATGTAACCATTTTTTCAGAATAAACTCTCAAATTTTATGAAAAAGCGCTGGAAACTTACTTGTAGACCCATTATATATTTTAATATATTTATTTAAAAGAATCTTGCAAAAAATTGGTACTTAATGTTAAAAATATATAAAATGTGACTTTTTTTTATTTAGAATGATATTGAAGCACAAAATTATTACAAATATTTTACTCAAATAATACAACGATGATAAAATTGAGATCTTCTTAATGACGGTATGCAAATTTGTTCTTCGTAATGATATAAAAAAAAAAAAATGTTATGCAAGAATTCTCTTTCATTCTTTTTCTATTTTATATTTTACCCTTTTTTATGAGATTTTAAATCGCACGACAATAAAGGTCGCACTGATATTTGAACAAAGGGCTTCTTCTTTCTATCATTTTTTTAAAAATACACACACGCGGGTGCAAGCATGCATGTATGAATGCACGTTAGTTTCATTTTTGTTTAACTTTTGCGACTTATTTGAAAAGAAATAAAGAAATTATAAATTATCTTTTTTTGAAATAATAAAAATATATTACAGTTTAATTAAAATCTCACATATTACATAAAATATATTTAACTATGAGCATTAACAGCAACAAAAATAATATTTTATCTAAATTCGTATAAAAAATGTTGCTTGTTAAGTCGTATCTATTGTGTGATAGAAAATAAAAAAGAAATAGGTACATAGGTAAAATTGTGAACAAAATGCATTTGAGAAATTTGAGAAAACGGTAAAGGGATCTTAACAATAGTTCAATCAGTTTAACAGATTCCTGGAGACTTGTGTTAGTCGTAAATCTCGATTTAACTTAGTATTCTATACACGATCTTCTAAGTTAACGTGATTTCTGTTTAGATCGACACCATTCAGAGACATTTCCGACATCCTTCCTCCTTCGTTCTCTCCTAAAGATTTCATATATTTACATATATATATTTTGTCTAGTTTAGAATTTATCTTTTAGAATGGAAGATAGAAACGTGTCTGTAAAATAGTAATATTATACGAGTTAAGAGATGAGAGAAGAGTAGTACGACAAAAGAAATTTTTTTTTCAAAAGAATTTTTTAATCGAAGTCAATAATTATAAAATTTGTAATTCTAAGTTTTTCGTTCTTTTGATAAATTATCTACGAAGTTTAACATATATATATTAGGTCGAGTCATAAATAACTCCCGTTTTGTATTAGATAAAGAATGGTGTTTCTTTCACTGATACATGCACGACACTTTTCATGGTGTTTTTTTGTACTCTTTGTATTTGTTGGACGTATCTATTGAATTTTGCTTCAATATTACCTTTAAAAGGTTCGTCAAAGTTGGAAAGACGCCCTGCACTCGATTCGTCTTTTAAGGTCGTAACTCCAGAACGAAATTTTACAAACAAATTTCTGACTTCCCTATCAGTTATCAATCCTTCACCGTATATGCTGCATATTTTTTCAGCTGCCACCTTAGTGCTATTGCCTTGTTTCAATTCCTAAAGCATTACATGTCAAATATGCACTTTTTACTATCAACTTTAGAAGTTAACAAAAACTGTTAAATGCAACATTGACTGCATAAAAAAGTTGACAGAAGACTAACTGAATCCTCATCTAAACAGTGATATCAAAAATCCGTTTGTTTCGGTGACTTATAGTAAGTAAATACGAAAAATAGATTCTACATAGACGCATCCGAAGTTACTTATGACACGACCTAATATATATACTTGAAAAGAATGAATTTCTCAAAGAAGAAAATAATAGTGAGAATTAGAAACAATTTTTCCATAGATAATCTTTTTTATTAAATTATAAATAAAAAAAAAAAAGCTATCAGACTTTGAATGAAAAAAATATCTTTTCTTTTTTTTTTTTTTTTAAATAAAATAAAACGAAAAAAAAGAAGAAACCTTTTTATTCTCGCTTTCAGCGAAAATATTGTAGCGCATAGTGCGATGCTTTCAATTAGAAAATAAATGGAAATTGATCGAAGAAACAAAAGCTATATATATATATATATAGGTGACGAGAAAGGGTCGATGAGCAATTCGAATAAAACGAGTCCGCTGCCATCGCGGAATGATCCTAGTCTCGTCTAGTTCTGAAACTCTATGCTACAACGAATCTGTAACTCCCAAAAAAAAAAAAATAAAATAAAATGAAATAAAATAAAATGAAATAAAAAAAAAAAAAGAATACAATACAAATACAAACTTCGCAATTGGTTGGATCGTTTAAAAGAAAATAGGAAAATTCTATAGAGAGAGAAAGAGAGAGAGAGAGAGAGAAATTTTTTAGTCGTACTTCATTCTATGTATCTTTTACTCCTCGTATATGTATACCTATCTACCTACCTCAATTCGAATTATTCAAGTATCGACATTCGTTGTATTTAAATGTGCACCGATCCGAGCAATTCGATTTCCGAAACAATACAATTCGAGTAGGAGAAATGTTAACGTTAAAGCTTCCGTCATAACGATATCTCTGTCTCACGATCGTGCCAACATTCGTTCTATTTTAGAATAAAATATCAAATCTTTTCAATAAATTTTACAAATTTTTTTAGAGATAATATAAAAGTATCAATTTTTTGGTCTTTTTCTTTTGGGACTTATAAAAATAAATCTTAATATATATAAAATACGTGTCACGTTTTTTGTCCGCAAATACTCCTAAACTACTGAACCGATTTTAATAAAATTTTGCACACTGTGTACAGTTTTATCCAACTTCAAAGATAGGATAGTTTGTATCTCAATTTATAATCGCAATATTATTTTATTGCGAATTATTTGTTTATTAACAAAGAGTCATGATTATCTATGTTAGTTCGATAAGATTCTAACAGATAGCGGTATAAGGTAATTCGTTGACTTAAAGACGTCTGTATCGGACTGATTGTGAGCCACAGCAACGCGTGGAGGGGCACCCTTAGTGATAATATATAAAATAATGCTTCGTCTATATGAATCAAGCTTTTTGTTAAAAAGAAAAAAAAATTAGAATAAAATAGAATAGCACTAACGATATATTATTATTTCCATTTAGGATATAAAAAGATTAGAAAAAAAAGGTTATAAGTCAGCGTACTAACACGATTGTCGGATCAAAATCTGGCATTGTGCGTGACGTTATTGGTTTCAATACAGATGCAAATATCATCTACAATAGCGTTGTAATAAACGCTATGCAAGGAAAATCGTGAAAGGGGAGAAGAGAAAGGATATACAACACAACGTTTCTACTCTCATATATAGGACTTATACGTACTCGTGTTGTCCTCGGTCTTTCTCATAAATGCCAGATAAAATGATGTTATAACTTTAACGTCCTGTTAGATTCGCATGTATTATTCAAAGGTTAATTCTGTTCGAGTAAACTGTCGTGGGAAAGTAAAAGAGAGGGAAAATATTAAAATTCGTAGGAGTTTGTCTGTTTAAATATACCAATTGATAATTCGCATATCTGACGTCCTGCCCTTTTATTATTATTATTTTTTTTAACAAAACATAAAGAAGTTAGCAGATAAAAAGATTTCAAAGAATTTTCTCTTGTCTACCAAATTTTACAACATGTACACACACACACAAAAATAACATCCATGTAATTCATTAAAATGTCAAACAAAATTTGGAATATTGTAATTAATAGTAAGTTAAAATTGACTACTATTAATTAATAATTTCTGTTTGAATTAAAAACTGTAGGTAAAGTATTATATCTTTATACTTTAGTATATCTTTAGGACTGAAAATAAAACCTCTCTCTCTCATTCGATGTTACCAATATAAATTTGACTTAATTGATCGATATTCTACAGATAAGAGTGGATTAATTATTATTGGAACGAAGATTTCAACTTGTTTTAAGATCTCTCGAGTAATCCCTCGTTCGCAAACAATCGATCGACTTTCGAAGTAATTTAATAATATCAGACTATATTAACATGCGCGTGCACAAGCAAGTATGCATATGTATATGTATAATAAACGAATAGCAAAATTTTCATTCATTTCTCTCTGCATGATAAATTATTGTAACTATAGTAAAATTTAATTGTAATAAGTTTTTACAAAAAAATAATAATCGAAACATTGAATGATTATTTTCTACGATTATATAAACGAATAAAAAATAGTTTAATATCAATGGATTTTCGTAAAAGATTATCAAACGAATCAAACAGTATCATGAAAAAAATTGTTCGAGTTTTCAAAAAAAATAAAAATAAAAATAAAAAGAAATAAAAAAGAAAAAGATGAAGATTTGACGTAGTAAAGTGTAGCAGGTTTTTATGGACGAAACATAAAGCAAAGTAAAGTCGTTTACACTAGTTCCACATATATACAATATATATATATATATATATATATACGAGTTCGTGTTTATACGTTCGACATAAAGCTTTCGTTATATATATGGGAGGGTTGGGTTCATTATTTCTTCGCGTACTGAAATAAAATATTTACCACGTTTATCCTACCAACAACAACAACAACAACAACAATAACAACTACAAGAAATCTTAGTAATAAAAAAAAACATTAGTAAATGCTCCTGTAATTTATATAATTAAAGGTAGAAAAAAAAGGATTCGGTTACCTTGAGGTACGATCTCGTCGTTATCTCTTGTCCAATAGTTAATAGATTTCGGATAAGCTTCCGAGAGACACTCCAACGTCATTAATTGTCCTTCCTGAGCTCCTACCAATTGATTTGGTACAGTAATCATTGGTGGAACTAAAAACAATTCAATGTGTTTCTTATAAAAACGTTAAACGTAATCTTTATCGTATTATTCCAATGAGGAAATCATTTTAAATTTTACGATTACATGTAAATTAAGGGTTGAAAGGGTGTAATAAAAAATATAATTGATAATTACGTACAGTGAACTATCAGCATGATTCTTTTACTGACTGACGGTGGTATGCCATTGGTCGCGATGCAAAGATACGAGCCCATGTGTAGTCGATTTACCTTGGTAATATTGAAATGCGCCCCTTCCACGGTCAGAGCTGAAAAAAGAAAAAGAAAAATCGAAGACAATATTCCACGACTATGATAAGGTAGGGGGGTTGTTGAGGGACCACTATTATCGATCGATTTTTTTTCTTCTTGAAATTCATTTCAATTTATCATCCCAGCCGGCTCGTAACTGTAGAAAAAGAGTTGACCATTTTCTTGTTTCTAGTCGTAGCTCGTTATAAAGAGTGAGAGCGAGAGAAAGATAGAAATGGAAAGAGACAAAATTGTGTTTCATTTTTCACTTTTCATAGTTCACCGTAGACTTCTCGATTCAAAACAGCCAATTTAAAGTGGACTCGTTAACTTCGATAACACAGTTTTGATGCTACCCGTGAACATACACACACATATATATATATACAAAGGCACAAAWTTGGTTTACTTATTCGGACGTTGAGGCCGTCTGTTACGTCCAAGCGTAAACCACAATTAAATCCTATGGAATATTTGCACGTTTCTAACAAGCTAAATATTGTTGAATACGCGCTTATGAAAGCTATGCGAGAGAATCTAAGGAAAGACTTGGGAGCCCTGAGAGTTGGCTCAGCACCAGAGAGTTCTCTCCTACGTGTTGTTCGCTTTAACGGATGCTGATTACTTATGACTATGGGACAACACWACACAACACAACACAAGGTTCGCAACAACAATGCTCTTTCTCTCCCACCGATTGTCGATCGATGTTTGATGACAAATAACGAGGGGGGTTGTTACGATAATAACGACCGAAGGACGAATGACAATACTCCAACAAACGTGTTGTCATCGACAATAATTTATTATTCGTTAAATTCGTTTGATGATCAAAATTTCATTTAAAAAAAAAAAATAACAATCTTATAATTTGTTATACTCGAATGATTGTATTGGGTTGTTCGGAAAGTAATTTCGTTTTTTCTTGACACAATTTTAGAATTAGTTAATGCAAATTGGCAAATAACAACACGTGAAATCATTGAGAATTTAAATTTATCAAATTTAACTATTTAAACTCACTCGAAAATCCTAAGTTTAACCTCGAAACAAAAATTGTCTTCATTTTCACAGGAATAAAATGAAATTACTTTCCGAACAACTCAATAGTATTTGTTTTGTAGGAAACAAAAATAATAAATAATTTTCAAGTTATAAGATTACCCATATAAAAAATAAATAATAATGATTCGTTGTTTAATGGTATTCTTTCTTTTAATGTTAATACAAACACGAAGGAATTCTTTGAAGATTTGCGTTAAATCTTGATCACGTACAAATGAATATAAATATTTGATTTCGTTTAAATGCTTAACCCTTTTAATAGTTTTTCAATACTTTGTAGTTACTTTGTATGCGACACGTCTCGAAATGATACTTCGATTCGAAATGCCGACTCCACGGATTAAAGTTGTAATGAACTAAGCGCGGATACGGTTAACCACGGCTTAAGATTGCACTACCGGTTATTCATTGTTGCTTAGACCGGAATCCTGTGCACGTGAGAGCCAACTCGCACTACTCGCACTATTCTTCTCTTCTTCCTCCTCCCAATCCCACCCTCTTCCTACCCCACCCACCTATCTCTCTCTCTCTCTCTCTCTCTCTCTCTCTCTCTCTCTATCTTTCTCTTCTCGTGTTTGCCAATTTCAATGCAAATATAGAAGATCTTCCCGTCTCTAGGAACGTATTACCTTCCTCCTAACCCTTTGGCCCTTACTCTAAAACGTAGTATATTTACTCTCTTGAGAGAAACTCCATGGGACCGATATAACTGCAATGAGGCTACGTACCACCACCACCACCCCACCGGACCTTTTCTGTTTCACCTTTTCACTGTTTAACGAACGTATCATCGTCGCCTGGGCTCACCGTTCTTTATTTAAAATAATAGTTTTACCTTAGATGAAATTATTCATTTCATAACGAAATCACGAAATTTTCGTCAAACTTTGTTAGAAAATTTGAGATATGTGAAATTGTTAAATAATACGTTCCTCCCAAAATCATTTTCTCAACTTATTTATATATAGATTTATTTTTATTAAGTTATTTTTAAAAGAATATTGAAAATAGATAAATAGATTGTACACGATAATGTTTTACGACATTCACGTCATTTAATGTAAACCAATGTTTGTTAAAAAAAATGGTTTTTAACTGATACGGTTTTATATACGAAATGGGTTGCAATATTTCAAACTTGGTGTTTCCAAAAAGATAAAACTTTCGAGCCTGGAATACTGCCTGTTGTCCCGATGTAAATTTGTAATTTTTCATACCAAAAACAATATTTCGTTTATTTGTATTATGCAGGTGAATGCTCAAATTATATCATCTTATATTTAAAGACCTAGATGTACAGTAAATTAGATTATCCTTTTTTTTTTCCATGACCGAATAATTCCTATCTCATTTAATGAATTATAAAATTAAGTATTAATTAAACGGATATTTTTGTGCTTAACAAAACGTAATTATGTATTTAAATATTCTATTCGCATTATCATGAATTATAATAATTATTATTTCTGATTAAACTTTTTTTCAATTTTTTTTTCTTTTTTTCTTTTTTCGGTTTTTCTGCTGATCCAATTAAAAAGGTGAATATATTTTTATCTATAAATTGTATCCTCAAAAATAATACTCCATTATACGAAATAATGGTCAAAATAAAAATGGAAATTTTCTTATAATCCTATATTTATATTATTCTCTTAAGTTTGAATTACCTTTAGTCTTGTCGTTGCAATATACAAGAAGAGATATTTGAATATCTTATATATATATAGCTTAAATAAAATTGTCTTATCTCATCTCTCCTGTTTTAATTTCAAATCTTTTAAAATAATAATTGTGAGTTTTATTTTATCTTCCACAAAGGATGTGTAATAGGTTTTTCTTAAGATTATTTTTGATTATTTAAATGCTAACATATTACAAACTAATTTTAAATCGGAACGTGTCAATAAATTTTGTATTTCGTCGTGTTCTATATTTCGTATAGTACTTATAGAACTACTATCGTACATGTAATAGAAGCTTGTGGCATGATTTATGCATAGCAAGTGATAAAGGTATAGTTAGATCCCTTTCACAGACAATTCGCTCTTCACTGAGAGACATGATTTATTTGAAATTCAACTAAATGTAATGTAAAACAAAAACTTGTAAAAAGAAATTTCCTATGGGTATGTTTAAGAAATGTTACTAGATCTTTCTATTAGTTTTTTAAATCAATAGTTTATTAATTAGGTCTAAAATTTCAACTGCTTATTAATTATCAATATATATTAATGGGAACCAATAAAAATCCATTAATTTGTCACAATATATTTTTAAAAAATTACTGAAAAAGAAAATAACAATCTGATCGAAATTGCCGGAAGGAATAGAAAATATCACAACTAAAACTAGTTTTTGTTTATGGGAAACATTGAAATCACGTTACAATTTGTATTTTACTGAACCAAATGGTCTGACAAACAAACACAACTGTGGTTTCCAATATGGAAAAAAAAAACTCCACCATCTTAGGATTATCCTTCAAAATGGGAAAGAGAAAGAATTATATTCTTGTTTGTTTTACACTTAACAAATGAAACTTTCAGGTTTTATCCGTTGTTTGGATGTTTTTGTCTGATTTAATAGAAAAATACGTCTTCAAATCATTTTTACTTAATTATAAAAGTCAGCTTTAACAATAAATGAAGATCGATAAGTATTAAGGATTTCGTATATCTTTCTTATCTCGTTCTATTTTTCTTTTAAACATTTCATAATCCCCAATACCTTCTAGGCTTTAGTATTTTGATTAATCTCGTCAGATAGACGTAACAAACATTAATTATCTATTTACTGACTTATTTGTGATATATTAAACTATCAGTTTTAGTATTCTCTTCCATCGTGGATGAAAAGATCTACGTCATTTTATTTTACAATAAATAATATAAAAAGAGTTAAGTTAAATATTCATTTTTACACGAGCAACATTCAGAATTAAAACTAGTTACAATTAGAATACGATATGATTAAATAGAAATACAATGATTCCCATTAATTAAAGAAAATTCATATCATCGAAACGATGTTTAACAATAAGTAAATTATATTTGTTCGTAAAGAAATAACTCGTTAAACTGACCTTTTCCTCCATTACCAAGGAGAATTTTTTGACCATCCTCACGACGCCAGGTAATATTGGGTGCAGGTGAGCCCGTTGCTGAACATTGTAATGTCACATCGTTTCCTTCTCTCACAACCATGTCCGTACTTGTTTGGTTGTCCACAATGTCTGGTGGAACTGTAGATATATATAAAATAAATATATATTTATTCAATATCGTACTGAATTTTTAAAAATTTACTTTTCATGTAAGATACTAAATATTATTTATTTAAATTCGACAACGTCAAACAACATCTTTTATTCTCATTTCATTTCGTGTGTATCCTTTAACGATGATGATAATGTGATGATACTGTATTTTACGATTAACAACGTTCAATCTATTTCCAAGGATGCTTTGAAGCAAGAATAACGAAATTTCTACTTCAAAGTATGACGCAAAACTTGTAAAGGCGCCGAATCGATTTAACTTTATTTTTACAAATAAAAATATCATCACCTATACTCTCCACTTTCCCTTTCATCCTCTTTCGTTTCTTTTTTCTATTAAACAAAAAAAATCATTTGTTCTTTATAATTAAAATACGATATTAAATTATATACGAATTACGATTATCTCTTTTTATTTAACAATTATTAAATAACAATATAATTAATTATTCTTCACCTTAGATTTCATTTTATTCAAATAAAGGTAATTCGATATAACACCCTTAATTGCATTAACAATCTAAGATAATAAAAGTACACAAGAGTTTGTTTGTTTGTCTAGAAATTGATTATAACATACGGAAAATGGAAACAAGACGAAGTGGACTTGGTGACATAGAAAATGGAACTCACATATTTCCACAGTGACAAGTTCTTAACAATAAGTTCTCTCATCCCCATTCATCCCTCTAGCGTACACCACTCCACTCTTCTCTTTCTCTACGTGTACATATGCGTATGTGTATGTATATGTATGTGCAACGTCCACCACCTTTATCCAGTGGTTACAAGAGCAAGTTCCAGCCGGTCGTCATAACAGTTAACGCAACAATAACCCTAGCAAAGTACACGAGCCGCCAGCGAGTACCGGTTAGGAGTATACTATATCTATGCGTCTATAAATCAGGTTTCCCAGAACCCGAACAGTACGTGCACCAGAGGCGGAACGAACGAACCAAAGGGGGGTTGGTTCGCAGAGGCCAGGGCCAGGATCCACGATTGTGCTCTGCACACCTACAAACACTACTCACTCATTCACTCACTCTACATAGAAATAGAAAGAGATGGAAGGAGGGGATAGGAAGGATACATGAAAGACAGAGACGAATACAGAGGGGTAAAGAGTAAGAGAGAGAGAGGGAGAGAGAGAGAGAGAAGGAACCATGACACGAGGAGGGACTCTCGTGCACGTAATAAAGTAGAGAATGATAACGCGAAACGACACATCCGCGACGGAATATCCGGCGGAAGCTAGAGAATCGTAACGTACTTTACTGAGATCTCAACGGACAGAAACTTCCCTTATGGTCGTGAAAAGCCGCTTCTCTCTCTCTCTCTCTCTCTCTCTCTCTCTCTATTCTTCTAGTTTCCCTTGCTCGTAAATGATAGAGATACGATCGGTAAATTTAGGACGAGCCCAAACTCCATTCTCTCTCTCTCTCTCTCTCTCCCTCTTTCTCTTTCTTTCTCTCGTACAAACAATTTTCTCGGTAATAAGGAAAGCGGTTTGCCTTAACGACGAACTGGAAACTTCGTCTTCCGAAGGATCGTTTCCCTTAATCTTACAAACGATTAGCGTCTTTTATTACATAACCGGTCGAACGATTTTATATCTATTCTCTCTATGAATCTATCCTCAAAAATACCCACTTAAGATCTATATATATATATTAAATATAATAAATATAATTATTATTAAATATAATAAATATAATTATAATTAAATACGATAATAAATTATACAAATGAACTTCAAACAAATTACTATTATCTTTCTTATTATATACATATTTGCCCATAATTATGAAAGTAGTCTGAGTCATATATCTCGAGTTTCGAGATATCTAAAGATTTATACTTGAACTCTATATGAATTCTACACAATATTGAAATAACAAATATTATCTAAAGATTCATTTTTTATAATATCGTGAAAATTACATAGAATTTATTTAGTTTATAATAATGTAGTGCGTAATAACTGATAACTTAGATCACTTTCATAATTATGGGCACATATATATGTGTGTTGAATTCCCTTTCTATCTATCAAATAAAAAAATCATACAAATAAATGTTACACAAGATAACACGATTGGTCACTAAACTTAATCAATTTAAGCACCATGGTTTTGCGACCAAAAACATATGATTTATGCTTATATTAAATGTATAAGAAGTTCATTGTGTTGATGATCATAAGCCAAAAAAATGTATTGTATTCAACGAGACAAAAGATATGATATTATTATTCTCGTGGAGTAATATTATCCCATTTGAGCTTTTCCTGGTAGATCCATTAAAATTGAATGCTCGTCCAGAAGAAGAGAGAACCCTAAAGTCAAGAGGAAGAACTCTCTGAGCGTCGAATAAACGTGTCCCTCGCGAGTAATGTCTTACCGTGTGTGTGTATGTATGTGTGTTCGGTTAAATGCGAATCAGCCCGAAGGTGCACCATCCTAGGACTCTCTTTCTCTTTTTCTCTCTTTCTAAAAAGAAATGTGTATGGCTGGAGGTGAAGGTGGAGGTGGAGATGGAGGTGGATCTACAACACACGAGGTCGATTTTATTCTGCCCTACGGCTGGAATTCGATTTGCGGTTGAGTGGCCGTATGGCTGATGCTGAATTGGCGGGTCAAATCGAGAGCACTCCTCTTTTTTCCCTCCCATCCTTTCTTTTTCTTTATCGTTGTATCTCTCTCTCTCTCTCTCTCTCTCTCTCTCTCTCTCTCATTCTCTTTCTTTCTCTCGTACTCGTTGTAGCATTACAGAAACATACGTTGTTCCTTTCTCCCACCACAAACACGCTTTACCCTTACTAACAATCCTTCCCTCTCACTACCAATTCCCCTTTTTCCTCTTTTCCTTTTTCCCCTCTCCCCCGATCCTCTTTCCTCGGCATCCTTGTTGTATACTCTTTAGTTTTATACGCTACTACTATAGGGATAGAAAGGTATATACTTTACGTGTTGGAAGTATTCGTCCCGTGACTGCTACTGGGTCTGTGGCACCCTTTGCGACTATCATTAATCACCCACTGGTTCGTCCGTTTCTGACCACTACCCCTACCACCACCAGCATCTCCAGCACTACCACAACCACCACTAGTATTCCCATCGTTTCAGTCACCCTTCCGAAAATTTAATGCCACGTGCTGCTGCGACGTTTGTGTCATAATGTGCAAAACTTGGAGAACGGCATTGTGCAGCAAGCCGTACGACAGACACGTGTCTCGATCATCGCGGAAATTAGAACGATGGGGGAGAGAGAAGACACACGCGTACGATAAATGCATCCAGTTGCATCCTATCTACGCTTGACAGAACTCTCTTATCGTTTAGCTTAACTCTCTTTCTCTCTTATTTTCTACAAAGATTCTATTGTATTTTTTTTTTTGTTTTTTTTTGAAGATACTACAAAGTCAAAGGAAAAAAGGTTTGTAATTAATAGCTGTATACGATTGGACAAATAATCACACAACATACATGCAGGGTTGTGACACACGCGTGAGAAACATTCGTGAAAGAATAACAACGGGACGATTTATATTTTCTTCCTTTTTATTGCCTTGTTAGGAGAGATACGTTTTACTTTCTGAATCGAGATTGTCGTTAGTATCGTCTGGGATCAGACATTGTTGTTCGAGGATCTACTATTACTGGACACTGGATTTCTTTGCTTTCATATTAAATTGTTGTATAAGGGGTTGTTTCGTTTATTCAAGTTATATTCTAATTGTCTAACATACATCAGATTGAAACGTCAGAAAAAAAATTGCTTTCGTACAGATAACTAAATTCTTTTCTAGTTTCTTTTTTCAATATATTTTATTTACTTTATTAAATATTGTTTGAAATATTATAAATGTTACGTCGGTCCTCTTTATCAAGGATTGAAACAAAATTGAAATTCTAATTATATAATATACTGGACATGTGTCTGTGAAACTTCTGTATTATATTATACATACATTCTATATATATAATATATGTTCATGTGAGTTTCTATGTTTGCTGGTCTATATCTCGTAGTGCTATCAATCTCGAGCTGAGTCGAACTAGCCCTGGGCAGCGAACCGAATGCAATGTTATGCGGTATAATAGTTTGGAATAAAATAGAAACGTTACGAGAGAGAGAGAGAGTTATGGTCAGGACCATATGACGTGTGTGCTTTTAGACTTTCAGATGTTCATCCTTACCAAGAATCAACTCATCCTTGATTCATCCAATGTTATACAAAAAGTGTCATAATAAGACAAAAATAAAAATATCATATTCCCTCTCTATGATGAAGTTCGTTCAAATGCATCGTATGCAATTACTTGTAATGTTAATGTTACAATTACATTTTTAAAAATATTTTTTATTTTATATTATATTTTATATTATATATATATAATATATATAATTATTTTTTTTATAATTTATATTTTAATATAATTATATATATATATAGTATATTAAATATATTATATATAAAAATATTAAATATATATGTATTTAAAAATAAAATAAAACGAAATAAATTCTAATAAAATTTAAATTTAAATTTGAAAATAAATATACATATATATATATATATATATATATATATTTTTAGATTCGTGTTATAAAACAAAGTTTAATCAACGATTCTTTTGCTTCATTTGTTAGGGATAATAAAAAGAAGAAAAAAGGGTTGTTCCTTTGTAAGGGCAATAAGAATAGGAGAAGTTTGCTTCAGCTACGGTCTCGTCACTGTGATTTCTCTATTTACTAGCTGCTCTCCATCCCCTGATTGAACGAGAGACTGTGAGAGAGAGAAGAATAGAGGAGGATGAGAATGGAGGGGAAGTTGCATTGCAAATCGTATGTCGTGCACCCACAAGCCATGCATCTCGCATCAATCTAGGTCTATCTCTCGTCTATTTTGATTCTTGGTAACCGCACTATACTATCGGAAAATAGCCAATCCCTACACATTT